AGGGCTGCCCCTGGCCGGGCCTCTCGCCCACGACACACCTGCTGGGGGTGGCTGTCAGGGCCGCCCACCTCACCAGGTGCAGGGTGGCCACCACGTGGACATGTATTGAATGAGCTGCAAACTGCTGACACCCCCACTCGGCGGTGCAGGACTCGCGCCCGGGACCCCAGAGAGTGGGGTGAAGCGAGAAGGGCGGGCAGGGCGGCAGGCGGGCAGGACGGAGGGCCCCTAGGCCCGTGTCAGGCCTCAGATTGAGCTGCGTAAGGCCTGGGCATCGTGCTCTGGGGACAAGTGTGTTTTAATAGTTTTGGAACTCGGAGGACAATCGTGGCAGGGGCTGTCCCGCGTGCGGCCGGCCGCACGGGCCCTCACACGAAGTAGGCAGCCAGAGCCGACATCTTGTCCTTGGGCCGCCGGGCGCCGGGCTTCCCCAGGGGGCGCCGGCCGCGGCCCCGCCCTCGGCCCTGCCTGCGGCCCGGGCCCCCGCGGTGCATCGGGTGGCAGGCGGCGCCGTGCTTCAGCTCCACGAGCTCCTGGAAGACAGGGTCGCAGAACACGCAGCCCGTGTGCTGCGTCTCGCCGCCGGGCAGCGGGGACCGGGCCTTGTTGAAGTCCACGTCGAGCAGCGCGGCCTCGCAGGCGCCGCAGGTGTCGGCGGCCACGCGCACACGGTGCGCGTTCTCGAAGCAGTGCGCCACCACGTTGCACCGGTTGCAGGCCACCTTCCACTTGGGACCCGAGGTGGGGTCCAGCACCAGCACGCCGCTGTCGCACTCCACACACTGCCCGACTCCCAGCATGCTCAGCGAATGCTGGCAGGTGGGGTGCGTGCACTCGTTACAGCCCATGCCTGGGGGAGGGGCGGGGGCGGGGTCACAGTGCGCTCCGGGACCGCTCGGCCAGCCCTCCCCGCTGCTGCCAGGGGGCGCTCTCAGCACCTCAACACTGCGGGCTCCCTCACTGAACCCGGAAGGGGTCCTCAGCTTTGCTCTGGGGGGTCTGGAAGACCAGCACCCAGCTCTGCTTCTCCGGAACCTTATTTGCCCCCAAAACCCGCAGGGCCTATCCCACCCCTTCTGCCTTTCCTCAAAGAGCCCACTGAGTTAAGTGCAAGGGCTGGGGGCTAGGGAAGCGGCTGGCGCATAGGGCGGGGCCTGGTGCTCAGCGGGTAGTCAGGCCACGCCCACCCCGCCGTGCCGCGCAAGCACCCGCCCTGCGGTTTCCTCGGGTGCCCCAGTGAACCCGGCAACTGCCTGGCTCTCGCAGGCCCATGAGTCTTCATCTGCCACGTGCCACGGTATCACTCACGGGTCACAGGGAATGGAAAGGGGCAGCCCAGTCGTAAGTGGGCGGGCGTGGTCTTGAACCAGCCCCGATGCGGTCTCCCCACGGCCTGTTGGCACTGAGTCGGAGCCATGAACGGCAGGGCTGAGCATGCTGGGAGCGAGTCCTGCCCCTCATGCACCGGGTCTGTCACTCGTCTGCCTCAGCAGGGGCTGGGCACACAGTCTCTTGCCACTGATGAGCACGTGGCCAGTGCCCCTTGAGCCAGCGAGCCTGTCGCAGCGCAGGCAGGGCCGGCATGGTTCTGGACGGGCTGGAGAAGCCACGGAGACCTGGGGGAGGCTGGGTCCCAACCGCAGCCCCTTGCTCACCTTTCTTCATATCTCGGAAGGGCGGGTGGTCGTAACAGTAAGGGCAGAGGGGGTAGCTCTTGCCCCGAGCGCCCGATGACCACAGGACCAGCTCGAAGTCGTCCAGCGGGCACCTCAGCTCCTTGTAGAGCTTGATGGTACCGTTCTGGGGGAGGGTGTAGGTCTCGTCACAGTGCGAGCAGTGCAGGCGGCTGGGCTTGGCCTGTGGGCGACACGTGCTGCTGGGGGTGGGGGAACAG